GGGTGTCAAGCAGAGGTCAAAGCAAACCCTCTGCCTGTGAACCTCAAAGAGGATGGTTGAAAAAGGTCCGTGCATTGAAGATGAATAGTTATATAAGTGCATCAGCTCCAATACTTTGAGCTCAGTATATATACATTTTGAAAAAAGTACATCATCTCTCGGATGGTAAGGAGTTACAGTAAGGACAGTGAGGCCTCTTTTCCCACTGAAAGCGGTAAGGTCGCCACCAAGTCGGGCCGATTCGGCCTTGGGGCAGGGATCACCTGAAGGGGACAAAGCCCCTCTTTGGGTTTTAGAGGCCTTTGATTCTTCCCATGGGCGCACTTGAATGCACAACACTTTCTAAACAAACCTGGAGATACTGGAAGATATCAGCGCTTCAGCCGCTGGCAGGTGGTCTAGTTCTGAGATGCTTGGCTTTCCCGTTGATCAAACATTCCAACACCTCCAGGACAAATGTCCATTTGTGGGCCTACGAGCAAGGACTCTACTAGGGGCTCCTGGCCTTACTAGTAGTAACAAGAAGCTACTAGGGGCTCCTGGCCTTACTAGTAGTAACAAGAAGCTACTAGGGGCTCCTGGCCTTACTAGTAGTAACAAGAAGCTACTAGGAGCTCCTGGCCGTACTACTAGGAGCGATCGGACGCTACTATTCGTGATCCACAAAAGACGGGTCCTGAGGACCATTGGTCTTCGCCGGTGAAATCAATGGAGAAAGGCCAAGGCAGGGTTTCCCCTTGGCCGAAATGGAATCGCAGCACTGCACCGCTGGCGAATGTGGCATCTTTGGAGGCACAATTCATCTGCTTTCAACAATGCTTCTGTTCGATTCACTATTCCTTACAAATTAATAGCAGAGCGTTCTGTTGTTCAATCGCAAAGCCCTTCTAGTTACTGACTTGTGTGTGTGTGTGTGTGTGGGGACTGATTTCAATTCTTTAAAGGTCATTCTTTTCCATTCTCCTTTGGTGCAACATAGGGAGCCAAAAGCATTAAATCAAGAGTTTATTATTTTCAAGCCCGTAGGTTGACATGTAGGCGTCTGAAGAAGTTACTGCTCATTTAATTCTGTTGCAGGGTGATTTTTTGTTGTCTTGTTGCATGGCTTGCTGTTTGGGTATACCTTTGGAAACTAGGAAGCTAGAAAGGTTTGACCAAGGAGAATTAAGACTGTCTGATCAAGGCCACTGTTTGAGAAAGAGTTATCTTTGGATGTAATTCTTTTACAGTGTTGTTTAGGATGTCTGTTTGGGGTATACTGTTGGCAGATTAGGAGAATAGAATGGTTTGAATCAGGAAGAGTTGACAGCAGCATCAAAAATGCATGAACAGCAGGAATTAAATCTTGAGTTAATTCTTGGCCGAACAGCTGCAATGAAAAAGAATTAGACCCTAGAGGGAATTCTTTTATGAACCAAGACACATGAAAAGAATAAAGTCAGGAGTCGGTAGTTAATTCCTGGAGCTACCATGCCAGCAGACCCAAATGAAAAGAATTATATCAAGAGTTATAATTCGTTTGAGCTCTGGAAAATTATCCGTTTCCTGACTTGTGCAATATCTCTTCCGTTGTTTGCACAAATAGTTCTATGGTGCTCCATTACGCTTCATTGCTTGACTACTGGTGAGATTTCTGTGGCCCTGAAACCATCAGCTCCAACCTAGCAAGTAAAGTACTCTTCTTTTAAAACTTTTGGACCCAGCTACCCGGGGAGCGGCTTTGTTTTGAAACCAGGTCACCACTGGTGCTTTGACTTCTTGAAATCTTGCTGACACAATTGCACTGGAAGTATTCAAGCTGGTCGTTTTGTATCCACTCGAGCCTCTACCACTTGACGCACTGGCGTTCTCTGTCCAAGCTGTTACTTCTACTCATCCGTCTTTTTGTGCAGGATATCCCTGTGGCAGAAGGGAACGAAGGCATATCCATCAGCCTTGTAGAACTTGCTCTGGAATTCCTTGGAGTTGGGAAAATTCAACGACAACTACAGGAAAACTCCCCTGCTATTTGACCGGTGACCAAGTCCATGACCATACTTGGAACGTGTGAAAGGCTGCTGTTCCACCGAGGCACCACCCAGTGAAGTCTCAAAGTATGGAGGAAGCACTCCATGACATCCATTCCCAAGAGGACTCCAACAGTGATACCAAACCATGAGCCAAAGGCAAAGTACGTGGTGAAGATATTCAACGGAAACGGAGCAGACATTCCTCCACAGGCGCAAGACTCGCAAGACTGAACATGATGAGTCATGATTAGCAAAAACCCTTTGATCATCGACCCAGTGCCTCCCAGCATAGTCATTCCAAAGAAGACCAAAGACCTGCAGCAAATACCAAACTCTAGGCCCACGTGTGTCTGCGGAGTTGAACGATCATGTTGGCAAAAAGAAGTGGTGGGGCGGATCTGGTGCTGGGTATGTTTCCAAGTATGTCCATTGGATCCAATGCAAAAAGGAGTGCCTGTAGGTGTATTACTCTTTATACATGAAGTCCTGTTCAATTCTGCTGAAAGGAAAAGTTTCAAGGATGTGGCAGTTCGAGTAAACCTGGCATCGATTTGCATCAATATGCATTCCTGCAGTTTGCAACTCAGCTGGCTGCACAGACCTACAAAGAGAGTTGTACCAAACTCCCATAGATACAAGCTATTCTTGGTTCATGGTGGTTTTGATTGCCTCTTTCTGAGAAACTTTGGTACTCAGTGCATATTGTGAGCTGACGTTGACTTCATACATAGGTCCGTTAGAGGCTTGTTCGTTCTAACAGGTTAGTTGATGTGCTGCATATCCCGATGGTGGGCGGATCAATCCGTCTGCAAGCCACTTTCGACTCGTATGTACTAGTAGCGTCCTTGCTCCTAGTAGCGATGCCAGGAGCCCCTAGTAGCTTCTTGTTACTAGTAGTAAGGTCAGGAGCCCCTAGTAGCGTCCTTCTTCTAAGAATCATGAACTAAGTTCGCCGCTTCGCCCTTCCCGCCAGGGCACAACTGTTGGTGAGCCAAGGACAGCGCCCACAAACGCAAATAGGATGCTGTATGAGACACAGTGCCCAAGACATATTCGATGGTCTCAATAACCTGAAAATGCATCGAGCTCCGCTCAAAGGGTCCCTCAACCCTCAACACGCTTCAACTCTTCAGTGTCATGTGCACCGGCAAAGCAAAGCACAAAGCTGAAGAGTCTAGATCGAATCCGAACCGGTGGCGAATCCATTAAATGTTGGAGGCCCACCCTGCCTGATGGATTACGCACTCCATGAGGTCAAACTCTTCCTCTTCCTCTTCCTCGGAAAGCAAAGACTCCTCATCTAAAGACATATGCCCACCTGGCAGTTTCAAGGCAAGCAAGCAGCTTCTTTGAAATGGCTGGATATCTCTGGGCTAAAGGTTTCATAATGTGAAATTTGTGATATCACACATGTTTGTGCATGTTCCGCAAAACCACTCTGAACTCCCAAGAAAAAGGCCTTTGAGATCTGCGTCTGCACTGCGCTTTGATTGTGCTGCCTCCCTTTGGACTCTGGACTGCAAACAAAGTCATGCTCACCCTCTGCCTCTGCCATCCGGGCCACCGAAGCGCTGAGAGGTTGGTCTCTTCTGCACCTAGCCATGCTGCAAACTTCAAAATAAGGGATTTGACCAAATCACAGCACACACTTCAACAAGCAAACGCATGTGACAATGGGTTAAGGAGCTATCTGGGCTTTGCAAGCACATCCTAGACTAAACTGACTAAAAAAAACAAAAGGCAAACATCAGGGCGACTTCAACACAACAGGTGAGCCCCCCCCATGAAATCTTTTTGTGAGGATAATTGACTTCATTTTGGAGTGGATGTCCATAGTCAACCAAACTCTACCACTTGCTAACCTCAGGCCCGCCTGGTGTCGCCGATTCAGGATGATGGGCTTGGGAATCCTGGGCAGTTGAAAAGAAACCTGTATATATATAATATATAGTATAAGGTGTTTGGCCTTTAAAGTTCAATTACAGCATATAAAGATCTTTGATGTTCCTTGCAGTGTCACAGGAATCTATATAATTGTGGAAACTAAAGTGTGACCAAGAACATCTGATGCAAACACCGAGCATGTTACTAAAGCAAAAGAACGAAAAGAAAACACCTAATCTGAAGCCACCTCTCAGAAAGCCCAAACCATGTGAGTGAATCAAATCTGCCAAGAGGCAGCATCCAGGGGACTGCCAACATACAAACCGCCATAAGTATCTGCGGCAGGATATGACCAAACATTGGGTTGGAGTCCTCCGACCACATCGCCATTGCCTCACTACAAACGCCTGTCACTGAAACTTGGCTGGTGCCAGTCTCCTCAAAACAAAGCATGCAAATCTTGCTATCTGGCCAAAGTCACGATCATGGAGTTGATGATGCTGGGAGGGTTCGCCATAGGAGTGACCCACTTGTAGAGAATCATGTAATCCATGAAACCGAAGAAGCTAATCATGAAAATCATCATTGGTACACATTCGCACGCAAAGTCGACCTGCTTAGCTGGGCATGCGAAAAAGAAACAACAAAACTGGATGCTCTTTGCAAAGTGAAAGGAGTGGGAAGCTTTGAAGAAGCTAACTGACAACATGACGAACCTATTCTCAAGAGTGGCCAAGTGACTTTGTTTTTCTCATACATGGCATTGCTGAAGCGCAGAAACAAACCCACCAGCATTTGAGTGACCCCAAGGACCACTGCCAACTTCATCTTCATGGAATTCAAGAACCTTAGACAAAATGCTTGTCGGATTTGATTCCACAAACAGTGACCACAGTGCAGGTGTCCCATGTGTTTCCAAATTCACCTTCTCAACCGAGCAGCACAAGCTCATTCTGTGCGCCGTGCCAAGCAGGATCTAGGCCAAAAGGATATGGACCAGGCCCTCCTGAGAATGACACAAGCTCATAAGGTATTGTCAATAGAACTCAAGATCTTTCGAGTGTGAAACGCCCAGAACTAGATACTGTCCCGAACACCTTGGCATTTTGACTGCGACTAACTGGCAGTACTCCGATTGACTTGGTCACTTTCCAGAGTCTTCCTGCCTCGATTCTCATGGTCAAATGTTGGCTGCATCGCTACCACTGATCCAGGCTTCTTCTCCGGGGAGATGGCCGGCTGGGTCCAGCGAGACTCAAAAAGGCTCAGACCAATCGAGAAGAAGTCGTTGTACAGAAAGCCTGCATACCTCGTAAAGAAAGGCACGTCTTGAGTTTGTTGGCCATCCCAGTGGTGGACCAATTATTCTGCCGGTTTAATTGTGCATAGAACGAAGCCCTTGTGCTGTGATAGGGCAGCGCTGTGGAGTTGCTCAAGAAGATGCAGCTTTGACGTGTAATTATGCGACTGTTTTGAGCAAAGGTTCACTGCGAAAATACCCATCATCAGCCTGAGCGCAAAAACAAGTATCTATGGTAGATCAAGATCAAAAGTGGTCAAAGTTTATCTCGAGCATACTTACAGTACAGTAAGTCTTTGGATCTGTCCATATCAAGGCAAATGGTCTTGTCACAAGTGAAAAAATTGCTTGGCCCAGTGGCAAGATGTATCGTCCTTCGTGCATCACTGGAAAGCTGAACTTCAACTCGTCCGACTTCCAAACCTCATTGAAACTGCAAAACCATGATATGCAAATATATGCAGCAGCTCTTTCCAAAGGCTTATTGGTGGGAGGAGTCTGCAAGAGCGGTTGGTGAATGGTTGAGCACCCTTTGGGCATGTTCGGCAAAACCGCAAGTTGCAGTGGCAAAACACCATGTTGATCCTGTTTATGGCAAAGTGGCTGCATAAAGTCCGACCGAGAGCAGCATTAGACCATGTCCAATGTCGCCATACATGACGCCAAAAAGGAATGGGAATGTCACCTCAGGCCGGGTATGTACATGTTTGTATGGCCAGGATCAGCAGCTGTTACATGCATTGAGAGATTGACATGCTGGCTCAAAAACTTGTACTGGGCAAAAGGTCAGCTCATCCATCCCAGCTTCAAGAAAAGTGACTATTGTAAAGAGCGCTGGGTTGGCCTCTTGGTATCTCGGAAGCCCATAGGTGTCCACTAGAACCTGCATTCAAAGCATGCAATTCACAGTCAGGACATCTGAAATGCTGAAACTAGAAACACCAGCAGGAGTACCAAAGCTACTCTGTAATACTGTAATATACTAAACACCTTTCAACTAAAAGTGTGCTTTGCCTTTCTCAACCTTTCCCGTGAACCTGAAATATGGCCGTGAACTCATTGACTCTTATGTAGGTCGGCGGTGATTTCCGAGGAGGAATCTTGTCAGGCACCAACATGGCACTGGAATGTCCATGCTGCGATGAGCTGTTCTGGATGCACATTGCCCGGATCCGATCCTCGTCCTACAAAGTTGAACTGGATGAATTCACAAGGCGGTGGTCTTGGGAAAATGTGACTGTCTGTGCCCTCTCCTCCTCAGGATACCAGCAGCTGGCCCTCAAATTCATGTTGCCTTCGAAAAGGTTTAATGTTGCATAGATGGACTTCTCCTTGATGCAGAACAGCCTCAAACCGGCACAGGGCCCTAATTCCAAAGTCTATACATTCCTCATAAAGGATGGGCCGTAAAGTACAGACAACTACTTGTCACCAGTTCAACTTGTGTTTTTTTTATCATCACTTAAAAGCTTGGCCGAGAGAAAATCTTTTGCAAAACCCATACAGAATAGACCGATAAGGCCACCCAAGATCCGTTTCAACCGAAATGACAACAGAATGGGGAGAACCCAAATCCTCCCAGATTCTGACCAACCCGAAGTTTTGCAAATTTCACCGGCCTCCACTCTTCAATGAGGGAGTCTCTATTTCGGTCCACGGGTTCCAGCAAGGAGGCAGCCTCCATCGCAGTTCGGGTGAGTCAACTGAAAGGAATAGCTGAGAAAAGCGACTCCAAAACCAACAAATTGAGTGTTCAATCGCCCCCTTCTAGCCTCGCTCTTCACGAAGTGCTCATGGGCTTTCAACAGCTTTTCTTGGTCCTCCACCTGCGCCTGGTCTGGGGGATATATGCTTTGAGGCACAGGCCTTCACCTTAAAACCTATGCACTCTTGAACCCACAGACAAGAAAGCAAGGGGCATACTTACTTTTATAAAATTTGGTCAGTGTTTTGCGTCCTGAATGGCAGTCAAAGAAATGTATGCCTCTGTTCAGCACCCTTTCAATTCCAGGGGCATCGCCAATCTTGAAAAGGAAGACACAAAAGATTCGGTCCGGATTCTTTCTATCTTCCCAAAGTTGAACTCTCTGGGCTGTTGCATTCTGTGATGAAACTTGGCCCACAAAGCGCCCGAGAACTGGGATGAAGATTCGACTGGTGAGCCCAAATGCCTTCAATTTTGTCGCCATCTCTTCTGCGGCACTTCGGCTGCTGGGCCATCGATAAGTATTCACCCCAAAGGAGCTGCAAATCCTTCGATCGAAAGAGAGTTCCCAAAGGACTACTAGTAACAAGGACACTGCCATCGCAAGTAGGTTGGAGGCCATCGCTACTGGGAACAAGATAGTTCCCAAAGAAACTCCGCCGGAAAATCATAAAATGCCATTAAGCATGCCTAGTGAACTGCTACAAGTAGTCTCCTTGGTTTCCTTCGTTGTAAAGCAAGTCAAGCTGTCATGTCAAGACTCTTGTTGATCTTCTCGCTCATTGCAGACACGGAAGATCCCATGCGATGATCTTGGAAATAGATCACCTCAATATTCCCCAGAAATTAGTTTGAAGAAAAGAACAGAACAAGGTGACGCTTCTGATTGGTTACTCTGCGGAAGTTGACTCCTGGGCAACCATTACAACTGTGCTTGTTGCTCCTAGTAGCGATGCCAGGACCCCCCTAGTAGCTTGTATCACATATCTTCAATCTTGCGTCCATCTGTTGTCAACATAGGTGATCTGGCAAAAAAGATTGTCATCTCGCTCGGGATTTGCCTTCCCTTGGCTTCCAAGACACAAATACCGACTTGTGCACTTGCCGACCTGTCTTTGGGTCTCGCATCGGCTCAAATATCTGCTGAAAGTGGGTGAAGGTATTGCCTGCCCATGGCGAAATCGGTTCAAATGATTTGTTGATTCACATTAATGCAAGGTGTGTCTACGAGTCTAAGAGACTCTACAAAGAAGAACGAAGTTAATCCAAGGTGCCTCGTGTGGCTCTGAAAAGCATGCGGGCAAAGCGGTCCTGCTCTTCTTGATGGATCACCCCTGCAATGTTGCTGAACATCGTCTCGAGGCTTCCTCAGAAAGTGATTGCTAAGCAATCTCCACTCATCCTCAACTTGCTAAAAGAATATGAAAAAATCATGCTTGGCTTTCCCAGATGCGACGAGATGTGCCTCCCTCTTCGTCCAGTAAGGACCTGGAAGCCTCAAACTCGAAGCGATCCTGCACTATTTTGGTTCAGATTTACTTGAATGCAAGCTGAGCAAATCCCATCCCAAAATTGAAAACTAAAACTCCAAAAAGCTGATCCCAACAGAATCCCTTATCGCTACAGTACAGTCCCCAAAAAAAGAGCATCCACACCCAGCACTCTCCATTGCACAGGATCCTTCTGAAAACCCCTCTCTAGGCCTATCCAACGAACCTAAATCATGAAGATATTAATTGAATCTAATCGCAGTCAAGTCCCCAATTTCCTCTTTGCTAGGGTGGATTGCCCAACCGACCTGATAGAACATCACCCAACCGTACTCGGTGCTTCCCAGTCCTCCGGACTTCTCACTGACCGGGAGGAGGCCACGTGTGCCATGGAGGCCATGGCGGTCTGCACCACGTAGCGCTCCTCCAGTGCAGCGTTCCGACGCTCCAGGAGCTTCCCATTGTTCTCCTCGCAAAAAGAGTAGGTAAAATTAGTAACTAGCTTCTTGTTACTACTAGTAAGGCACTTGTTACTAGAAGCGATGCACTTGTTTCTAGTAGCTTATGATTTGCCTAGACTACTTGGAGTGCTTGGAACTTGATTTGTCTCCTAGCTAGGAGATACCCCCTTCCAAACCAGCCCCTTCGCTCGGCTTCCAAGTCGACTAAAATCAACACACTTGGGTCAGCGATTGGGGCTCACCTTATCCCGTCCGCAGACGATCTCTGGTCAGTTCTTCCAGGATCCTCCATCCGGTTCCTCCATTCTTGAGATTAATTTCTTCACAACGGAGCAAAAGTGCTCAGCTGTAAGGAGTTAACATGAGCTAGCACCATCAATCGAAACCCTCGAACTAAAGGCCTTTTTGCTCCTTGAACTGGATGAACTCCTTATGCATCTTGTGTAGTTTTGACTCTACATCGTCCAACTTGTATTCATCGCTGTGGTCCAAAAAAGCATCCACATTGTGCCTTACCGGCGATGCACCAGGCACCTTCAGGCACGGGCAGTAAGAAGGTCATAAAACCTTTGGAATGTTCGTCGATCAAAAAACATCCACCTGCTAGGCACTGCCAGCCAAAAGGATATGTCAAGCACAGCACAGGGAGAAGCGGTTGTTTTATATCTACTGAGGCGAAATCTAGGCGGTGGAAGGCAACACAATGCTGTGCAATGTGTAGATTCTACGTAAGTCGCACATCTGATACTTAGGTGCAACTTACATACACATGCTTGCTTGTCTGTGACTGCGGTATGCGGCTCCCAAAGCTTCCTCAAGGACACGACTTCTCACCTTCGTCAGCTCTTCCTCCAGAAAACGTATGATCCTCTCCATTTCATCTATCCTTTGGATGTACCTCAGCAAAGAAAAAGTCTCTCCACTTGTCACAAACCTTGGACAGCGAGGCTACACAGGCAAGCTAGGACAACTAGAACAGGTATTCGTGACTGGACCAAATATGTACTTAAATCCTAGAGTGAGCAGGAAAATTGCAATAAGTCTAAAATACTATCTCGCATGGGTTCTTCCAAATCAACAGCAAGAGAAAACTAACAAACATGTTCAAGATGTTGAGCAACTTTTTATACGGGCGATGCATGTCCCGGGCGTTCATGTCCTCGAACTGCATCTTTGTATTTCTGCCTGTCAAAGGCAAATAGTTTGTGAAAACACAAATGTTTGCTGTTTGCATTGCCCGAGTAGGAAGCATGCAACAAGTGCATCATTCCGTTTCTGCGCACCTATCAGATCAATAAACTCACGCGCACGGTCCACGGGCACCACCAGCGTTCCATGTTTCATGGGCTCAGATCTTAATAGACCCATGGCGGGCGAGGTGAATTGTGTTTAGGTTCAGATGCAAGTGTACTTGGGTTTATCACCCTGCGACAATAAGAAGGCATGTTGTGTTTCATTGGATCTATGCAAAATGAAGAACAATCAAAGCTCATGAAGGCGACTAAGTCGATTCAAGAACTTATTCAAACTGATTCTGGTTATTGAGCAACTTAAGACTTATTATCATGATAGGTATGAACACAAAGCCACGTAAGTTACTTGAGCCAAAACACATTGCAAGCTCTTTCGACGACCTGGCTATCAATGCCACAAAGCTGCCACAAATCCTTGTCATGGTGGTAAGAGTACAGTAATGGACTTTGCACGACCTGAGAACCAAACTATATCCTCAATGCCATACCTCAGGTATGCACCATACCTCAAGATTGTCAAAACTTCCCTGTTGTATCGTCAATGCCATCTGTTTGCAAAAAGTGTCCCAAAAACTTCGACACAAATTCCGATTGCAATCCGCTAACCCGGCGGGCCGTACTTTTCGTTATGTAAAAGACATCATTGGGTTTGTGCCATCTACTCTGAAACCACTGTGCGTCCAAGGGTCTTTGCAAGCAGGATGGAGTTCATCCGGGACACACGGGTGACAAATAAGTAAGTAAGGAGATAAGCAGAGGACCGACAAAATGGAGTGGGGTTGGGGTGAAGTCTTCAATAAAGTTGTTTTAACCTTGTTAAGCCTTAATGAAACTCAGAAAGTTTCATTGAAACTCTTTGAAATTCTCTGGTTTTCACAAAACAAAGACATGTGCTTCAGCGATCTACACTGCATAGCTTCCCTGAGTTGAACTCACTTTGGGGCATACTCTTTGACCCCTCCTGCTGAGTACCCTTCCAGCAGATGTGGTCCGACATGTGCAGTCCTCGTCCATGACAGCTCCATGTGTTACAACAAACGCAGGTCCATGGCATCTCCACCAGCAACCCGCATGTAACACAACATTTTCCTCTCAAATGCTCCACAAATGACATCAAAGTCTCGTCGTACCTCCCGCACAACTTCACGTGGCAACTGGTTGAAGGGGGCACCTCTGAAGCTCAATTCAGCCAGGCGCCGGTAGAGTGTGACTTGCAAGAATACTCCTACGTGTCGCAACTGCACTGAGGCGTGCAAGCGGCCACTCCTGCGGCAGCATGGCGAGAAGACTGGTCGGTGGTGCAATGGGAGGTAGGGTCTCTGGTCGTGCCTCAGTTGGTTCCTCTGGTTCCTTAAGTGCTATTATGGATAGTGTTTGGAAGCGATGCACTACTTGCATTGCTCTCTGCTCAGAGAGTAGGGCAAGGCCGGAGTCTACTGCTCCTGCCTGTTCGGCATCCGCAGCATCTGTAGTGGCGTCGGAACCATTAGCACTGTCCCTTATCGTTGACTCCGGCATTTGTGGGTCAGCTGCACCCGTTGCTTCTGGGCGACAGGCGCCAAGTCCAACAATCCTGTGGGCACTCCCTGAGGCCCGGTTTGGCAGCTTTGGATTTTACTGCGAGGGGCTTCACCGGCGGCTGCACCGGCAGGGCTTGTTCGGCAGCAGACTTTGATGTTCTCGTTGGGATGTGGAGCTGGCCGAGCCAATTGGTGATGCAATATTTTTTTGCACGAGTCGAGACGCTATGTGTGCAGGTTCTGCACAAGTCACCTTGGTCGAGTTAAGAAGGAGTTACTATACAGGTTGCAAACCAACCAAAGAAAAAAACACCCAAACGCCAACCAACCCAAAACCAAAAACACCCAAAACACAAAACCACCAGAAGAGGGAAGCAACCTGTTGCGCAACTCGTGTGGCCATGGTAGCCGTGTGACAAAAGGTGAGACAGGGGCAATTAATTCCGTAAAACTCTTAGTACTTCTTGTCCCTCAACGAACTGATTCGGGCTTTTAGCATCATCATCAAGAATTTTGGAAAAGTAACGGGAGGCAGATCGAGACCCTCCTCCACGGGTTAGAGGCGATGACAAGTTGTGTGCTTGCAATGCACTTGAGAGGCATCAGTGAGCCACTTGGTGATGCAGCTGCCGGATCAACTCCACAAAGAGGAGAAGAGGTGCCTGGCGACAATTCTTGTCGCCAGCATGTGGCAGCTTGCTTCCTTCAAGCTTCGGATGCATGATTTGCAGCACACCCGACTGAGACAGGGGATGGTCATTGCTGTTTTCGGCTCACTATGTTCAAAATCCCAAGGAAAGATTGCGAAGAGCACAATTGGTTGAGCACGGTTAAGCACTAAGGGCTTGTCGTGGGAGAGTGATGCTCAGAGGAGTCGGTTGTCAAACTTACGAAAGTCATGACCTGCACTTGTGAAGAAGAAATTCTTGATGCAAGTTTTGGGCAGATCGTCTCCTTTGCCTCTTTTTATCGACCAGCTTTCGCGTTGAGGTCCCACTGTGGCACAAACTCGAGGAAGGGACAGCTGACCCTGCACTGGATAGTCAGACAGCACCGAGACGCGGGTCTGCCAGGGAGACCCCGGTAGACAAGGGAGACGGGATGAACCAAGACAAGCGGTCCCCCCCCCCCCCCAAAGGGGGAGGCGGTGACAAGAGTGCGCTCCATGACAGCGGCTCCAAAATGGCGAACGGGAGCAACAATGACAAAGCAACGTGACCTTGCGTTGCCCTCAAGGAATATTGACAGGCAGGACCCTGTTGACAAGCCTCCACAAGCTCAGCATCTCCGGTATTGCAATTCGAGTGCGGTTGAATCCGTGAAAACACGCACGCCCCTCAGTGATTATGATCAGGAATGTTTCACCAGGGCAAATGTGGCATTCAGCAGGGCCACCAACCTCACCATCCTTGCCTGCCCTTTGAACATGCAAGGAATGCCGGGGGCCTTGCAGGTACTTGCTGCTCTCCTGCATGGTGTTCAAAGCATTGATACCCATGATAGCCACACTGTCGCATTTGACAAAGGCTGAAATTTCCAGCCTGCAACATGGGCCACATCTTCCGGGAGGCACGACAGAGCACGGGCTTTGTCTACGGTCGATGAGATGCCTACGCCGGAATGGCTTGTCATCACAGATGGACAAGAACCTGCACATTGGAGGCTACTCCATAATAGCACTGGCCGTGGACAACGGTGTGGTGGGAAATTTCCAACGGTATCAACCATCCTTGAATGCTGTGGAGCAGCGTACGGCACAGGATTACACCTTTGAAGCTTTGCATCGTATTTACTTTTACGATGCGTGGAGAACACAGCCGGTCCTCTGCGCCCCAGAGTCCAACCCAGTCCTGCCGCTGCATCCTGCCTCTTAACGCAGATGCCCAGGCCTGCCAAACGCCAACCTCGCCTGAGGCAGCCGATGCCGTCATGACAGATGAGAAGGCAAAAACGACATTGTCTCTGTCCTCAGCTCCTCTACAGAGCCGTCCACTCTGCCACTCCCCCATGGGAGACAAAGAAGCGGAAGCCAATCCATTGGAGGAAGCGGGTGACTGCCTCAGCAATCGTCCAGCGTCCTCCAGCTCACGACCAGTCAATAACGAAATGCTGGAGGAAAATGGAGAGGATTGTAGTGCGATGCCACTGCAAGGAGTTGATTCCCAGGATGACAGCTCCCCGTCGCATTCCTCAGAGTCGCCGATAAAGCGAAGACCAGGGTTAAAAGCAAGTGCAGGCAGGGGTCAATCCAAGAAGCTCCGGCAATCAGCAGATCAGGCTTCCCAGCCGCCAAGGCAGCATCCCGGAACATGGTCAACAGCCGGTCACGCTTGAGGACCTTGCTGACCCAGCTGACCAAATGCAAGAGTCCCCAATCAGTAAGGACCCAGCTTCGCCATGCAGCCCGAAGAGGCACAGAAACACCCCCAGGCCATGACAGAAATTGATCCAGACAATGACCAAAAGAATGTAGAAAGAGAAAGCACTGCTGCCACCGACATACAGTTAGAAGCAGAACAGAGAGCCATGCAGGCGCTACATGCACTCCAATTAGCCTTCCATGCAGCTGCCGACACTGACACGAAAGGAATGGGACCACCCTCGCTACAGCTAAGCAGACGTGCTTGAGATTTTGGGCATAACGTCTTGGCAGAAGCACATGCCTGTCGAGCTGCCATCAACCTTGCTTTTGAGTACTATGTCTCCTGCCTGTCAAGAGGCATCCCTATAGACAGTGTTGTTGTGCAGGGAAACATCTTGCCTGTCATTAATTACCTTCAGCACAAAGGAAGAATCAAAAAACCCGCTGTTGTCGCCATTTTAGAACAACGCCAGCAATTGCTTGCCCGAGCGCCTTGTCTGTTCCGCCTTGTCTATCTGCCAAGGGAGTGCAACCGTCTAGCAGACTATTTTGCTGGTCAGGCCAGTGCTGGGGCTAAGGAAGCAGCAGGCAACCCACTTGTTCCCTTACATCATGCGGCGCTCCCGCCGTTTCAATTAGCACAAGCTTTGGGTTTCATCATTGAGCAGGGAGATGCATCGCAAGTCCCTGCTTTCGTCCTTACGGAGTGCCCTTCCCCTACTCCTCGGGAGATGCACACACTACTCCGGCTACACCCGCACTACAAATGGGTTGCAATGGACTATATTGCCCTAGCAGTAGCGTCCTCTCATTGCCTCAGCGTAGGGTACAAGCCCACAGTTGATGCCTTTGGAGGCCGATTCTACTCAGTTGGCAATGCAGCACAGCGGCTGCCACGGCAGGTTCGGCTACTTCTCTTTGGCAACTCTCATTGGGAGATGGATATTAGTGGAGCGCACTATGAGCTTATGAGACGGCAATGCAAGGCAGCTGAGGTTCACCTAGCATTACTGCCAATCGCGCAAGCGAGAGACTACCTCAGAGGAGCTTTTCGGGCACACATTGCAGAGGATGAAATTGGCCCCCTGGTAAAGACATGGCCACTAGTCATAATCAACAGTGCCACTCCGCAGGAGGCAATTGAGTACCTCAAGAAGCGTGTACAAACGGAGCTGTCACCCCATCTGGTGAGCTTTGCTCGGGAAGTGT